GTATTGTACAGAAATTATTGTATAAAACCTAATCATGCCAACCACAAGTACTGAGTACTTGACAATTCCATAACTTTAATCATTTTCAGCTGGCCATATTGATCATAAAATATACAAATTGGCCTGTGTCTACTTGAGTGATGTACTTATAAGACAAGCACACAAGTATTTTTTTCACACTGATTTTTAGTATTAATACACAAATTGTTTTGTATTTATCGAAAATTGAAGTCAATCACAAAAAAGTATCGTAAAATTATTTTAGTACCCAATGAGTATACACGTATGAATGATCGATGAAATGTGTGACGTATGTCAGCGGAATAAACAAGTTATTTTTAACATACTGACGCCAGCAGAACTGAATTGGATGTTTACTCACAATGGAGCAATTCTGAAAGTATACTTGTACATTTCATGTATATTCAACGGCACGATGCTGCCAATCAGAAGGATTTGGCAGATTAGGAAATATAAATACATGCAAAAACATTATAGTGGACCCGGCCTAAATACATTCACATATTTTTATACATTCATAACAAAATAAAGACTTCTGTATCTGTATAGAATATGTCATAATTAAAAAAAAATTAAATATTTTATTTTATAGATATATATTTTTATTATGCTAGAATGGTTTTAAACTTTACTGTGAACCATGTATTCAAATCGTGTCTTTGTAATGTATATTATTGTGTAACAGTTGTCATATTAACCTTAGATAATGAATGCATTGTAATATTTTGTGTCAAATAAAATAATTTACTCTATTCAGAATATTTTTATGGACAATATTAGATAAAATATCCTCTCTAACTCATTAGGAAATTATTGCAACACAGCATGTTTCTTATAGACAGAAACATCATATGTAATAAATAGTCGTATCATATTGTATACATATGGATATCGTTATATAATTTCAACAATACCTTACCAGAATTATCCCACACATAGCATATAAATAATATGGGGGGGGGGGGGCTGAATGCTCACGCTATTACTATTACTATTATAACCAAACTCAGTATTAATTGTATTTTCTCGTCTATTTATTTATTTATTTATTTATTTATTCTTATTTATTATACTTTAGGATTTACAGCGATGATATGGTTTGTCATTTTAATAAAGTTTTATATTGCAGTGTTCATAAAATTATATTTTATTATATTTATTGAAAATGAATCACAGTTGAAGCTGTTTATGGATATAATTTTTTTTTTTTCAGTGAAATTATTGGAATTACAATATAAAACTGGTAGTTTTGAAATAGATTGGGAATTTGAATTTGTAAGTAATTAAATGAAAATCAGATATGTTTTTCGCTCTCACTGGTGTTAGTGGACAGAGTACATGAATCTGATACCTCATTTTGAAAGATGAAAAAAAGTAAATGGTCTTGGGTAAATTAAATCGATGAAGATAAACAACAAGAGCATACATAAAATATTTATAGTAAACGTTTTACACCCACTTCGTTTTTCACAATGCACATATTTGTTATATTTGTTATAATTGTTTGTTTTTGTAATGAATTCTATAACCTTCCCAAGTGACGCAAATCCAGTTACTTTTCCACGATATGTGAAGCGCACAATTTACTTGCCAAGCAACAGTAAACAATACAATTTTTTAAGTGGTAGACTGCGGATATTTTTTCACATCCTAAAAAAAAAACCCACAAACAATAGCTGATACTTGAGACGATCTAAGGTACACTTTTCCCAGGCATGGCGCCACTCAACACGCTCTAAGATAAAATAATGAATATCAAAGTGACTTAGTTGGTAAAACTATACCTGTTTTTTTGCTACTGGTATATGGACTCTTCTACCAATACTACTCCAGGAAAGCCTCCCAAAAATTGCTATCTAAAAAAAATCTAATTGCAATAGTTTCCTTATTGCAATCTGTGTTTACCTACACAGAAAACATACACAGTGTTTACAAGCGCTGATGCATTGCAACGGTTTATATTTAACTTGACATTCACTTCTAATCAATTTACTATTGGATTATTGCAGCAAGGGCATTATTTTAACCCCAAGACCTTGTGTCTCATTTCCAGAGATCAAGGTCGAGGTCAAGACCAGCCCTTTGACTTTGAGCTAAACTGACCTGGGTCAGCGATGTGTTTTTAACAGTAAGTATAAATTAACTCGGGGTCGAACCCCACATTTTGTTACATGTACATTCACTTACACAGATTTCCTCCTTTCTCAAACCAAAGACATTAGAAAGATTGTCTTTGCTCAAACATGAACAGTTACTATTATATGTATATATGCAAACAGGAAAATTACTACTGTAATATGTGTAATTCCATACAGTGCCCTCACTGTGCATTTAATGTTTATCAATGTCAACTTGTATGTAGAAAACACAGAAGGTGGGTGTTGCTTTCTGGGTTGCTTTAAAGTATGAAGTTAGTAAATCATGCAAAAAATGACAGAGTGGTTAAAAATAAACCGTAGACCATAGAAATAAGATCTATGACCAAAACAACTAAATTTTTTTCTCCCTAATGTTTCATAGAGACAAAGTTATTTTAAGAATAAGAAAAGTTAAAAGAAATGATGAAGTTTCACATTATCCAAAGAAGCTGTTATCATCAATAAACTAATGGTAACATATTGCATGTATAAGAAGCACGACCTGATGATACCGTGAACACAATCATTTTTCACTGGGCTTTAATTTTGCTTATTTACCTGATCAGTGAAATCTGCTACATTAAATCAGTGCAAACATAGAACACAATAGAGTGTTGTTTCAATAGCACAAAATATGTGAAGTAAAATGCATTGAATAAAGCTGTAATTAAATCCACGTGAACAATAAATTCTTCTACAGTATGTGGTTTTATTTATCGGTAAATTTTCTACGGAAGCGCATCATAGATTAGACATTTCTAATCAGCATTTCTATCAATACATGTACTGTCCATATCCTATTATCTCCTACTGCATTCCATACATAGCCACACTCAGTATTCGCATTAATATTACTACTAGTATTATCTGATCATCTAAAAGTACATGGGGCTTATATGTTAATGATTATTAGAAAAAATAAAAATAAAAAATATAATAATAATAAAAAAAATAATAAAAATAAAAAAAAATAAAAAAATTAAGTGAATGAATTAGCAATGAAGATCTTATTGTTATTACTAGTACATTATTTAATTTTAATATTACAGTCTATTATATCACTACTTTAACAATTTACATGTACATTGCAAGTATATTTAGCCACATAATGAGAAAAAAACTTATGTAACCAATTCAAAAATGTAATTACTTCAACAGAAAATGATACGCAAAGATAATAATATTGATAACATTGCCAGAAAGATGGTTGTTACAATATAACTTCAAATTTCCAAATTTTATGGGAAACTTTATTTCAATTCACAAAATTGTTTTGCGAATGACTACTGTAAAATACTTTATTTTAGCTGGAATTAATTTCCATTGAAAAGATTTGTTGGGTGTTTTGTATGGAATTTATTTTCACTGATTTTTGACTAGTTGAATGTAAAATATAGGTAAAAAGGTATATTCGTTGGATTTTATTTTCACTGAATCATACCTTCACTGAAAATAGCGAAAATTAATTCCAAGCACTGCAAAGAAACCAAGTGAAATACAAAGGACATACAAAATACAGACTGATGTTTTTACCAACAAAACACTGCAACTTTCATTCAACAGTATTTTATTGACTGTGTCAATTAAAGAAAACTACTTTTTGGCGGTTAAAGTAACAGTATGGATAGAGATAAACCTGTTTCTGAATTCAACCTCTGACCTGACTATTGGCCCTCATTACTCGTATAATCAGATCACACCACAGCGACTAGTTGAACTGTTCTAGAATGAACACTGTTTTAAAAGTCTGTACAAATTATTTAAACCAATATTTAAAAATATTCAGAAGGATCATACTAATCTCAGCATATCCAGTACATTAAAACTAAACACACAACACAAAAGAAATAGTTTGCTAAAATAAATCCCAGGGATTGCCAATATCCCCTGCAAAGATATGTCATGAACAGAAGGGAATGCTTGCAAAAAAACAAGATTTTACAAGTGATATGGTTAACCTTTAGCTAACAGAAAGGCACATTTAAAACCACTGAAGACTTCAGTCTGAAGTAGACTTTTTATAACATTTAGTTTAATTTCCGTAGCTACTGTACAACACAGTATTAAACTCTGAACAATGATAATGTGTCTAACACAATAGCTTGTTACTGATGCAATAAACTTCAGTAAAAGCCTGAATACTGTAAAAGCATTTACTAGTATTTTCACAGACATTTAATTAATTTCGCTATTTTAATGCTTTGAGCAATTTCACTGGATGTTAAGTTGGAAAACTTGGCAGGGAAACAATGAGTTCTATTGTTATTTTACATGTTCTAATGGATTTAATTCAGCACATCTTACTTATCGTCGAAATAGCGAAAATAAAAACCAGTGAGTAATTAATGTGTTTACAGTACTCAATTCAAATTGCAATGTGTGAAATCTTAATCTGTGAAAATTACATTGCTCTTAGATACCGAAACACTGAAAAGTGTTGTATCAAATTGCAATATATAATTTTTCTAAATTTAACGATTATGTTTTACTTTATATGCTGAATTTTGTTTTTGCAATATATTACACCAGTATCACATATCAATACTAACAGTATGGAGTTACATAATATTATCAATACAGGGTAACAAAGAATCATGTTACTATACTATGTCTTCAAATAAATACGACAGTTTTACTGAACTAAATTAACACGCCAGCCAACCATGTCACTAGATAACTGCGAGGACCGAGAAAGATAAAGTAAATTATACCGGATGTCCAACACGCCAACAATATGGACAACGTGGACAGCACTTAACGATAATTTTCAAAATCGACTCGCATGAAAGATCGCTATCAAAATACTTTAAAAACAAATGTAACCCGTTTACTGGAACTTACCGACCACGAGTAAAGAATCTGACTGTGTTGATGGTGGCGTGATCGATACCGATGGGCGTAAACTGAACAGCTGATTTGGCAATGTGGTGTCGATGACAGCGCTCGATATTCCGGGAATTCGAAGCACAATACTAGCCGGATAGTGTGGTTGCGATGGTGTGAGACAACTATATACCAAGTTTGTTTTCAAAACAAATACTGATCACAATTACTTTCGTTGGCGGATTACGGGGCGGTAAACAAACATGAGGCCATAAAATACGTCACACACTTTCGTCATCCTCGCGGCTAGTTAGGATGAGTGACCTTTGACCGCCCAATAACAAAGCAATGTATCAACGAAAACGTACACATACCCGGCAAATAAAATGTCAACACGGTTGTATGCTTAGCGGCAGAGATGCGTATATATCACGTGTTATTTACGTATCCACGGATTCCAGAACATATTGCTGCATCAATGTATTCGAAATAATAACATAACACGACGTTACTTACCGGTAAACACTGCGTGAGTTCTGAATTCATCTTAGAAACTACACTAAACCATTCGACGTGACTTCACTTGGGCGATGACAAGGTCACATACTGTAAGGTTAATTTATCATTAAAAATATTTCCGTTCAAACTAGAAGATATTTCAGCATTAAATATACTTAGATATTCATATTTTGCTTATGATATTTCTAAATTTGTTTTCACATAATGGATTTTCTTACAAAGTTCGTTAACTGTTTTTCAATTTTCGTATTAGTCGTACCGCGTTAACCTATGCAGTCCTATAATCTCTCCGCTTATTTTTGTATAAGCTTTTTTGATTGGTCATTGAGCGAAGCCAAAATGACACCAAGTCCAATGAAAATGAAGATAACAAAAGCTGTTTCCCATAATGCTTAGCTAGCGACTGAAATTCTTGAGCATCCGAAACATGGCGCCGACTACGGAGGTGAGATTTGTATTCATGTTCTGTTTTGATTACGATAAAAATGGGTTTTCATGCATTTACGAAAGGTGGCATGTACCAGAAAACCACTTTACTCTCTTGAGCTATGTTTTTATTCTTAGCAATGTAATTCTAGCCTTGAAAGTTTTGATTTAGAAAAAGCAAACGAGCGATAACATTTTGACATCTTAACTTTTTTGTGATGATTATGTACATACTTTTCTTCAACTTTTTCATTCAAAATTATTTCTTCAACTTAAAGTATTCTAATTTGTAGTATGCTACTCGTGTTCATAATAGTACTGTGTTAAGTGTTATTTGAATAAGAAATTTGCGTATATGTTTCTATGACTACTGCCAACAAATTTAACAATTATTAATAGCGATATAATAACAATAATATTAATGTTGTAAAGATCCGTACACAAAATATTTTATTTATCATTTGGACAATAATTGTCATTCTCGTCAATTAACAAGTGTTTTTGTTTAACCTAAGCATAGAAAATTAGTTATTGTACAGCATTACTGAATCCATTTTTTTTTATAAAATTTTCCTGTGGATTCACACATTAATAGGATCATGTTTCCTGCATGTTGTTGAGTAACATACAAATGTCATCTTTGTGGACATAGGCTTGTGCACTTTTTACTCAATGCTAACATTTTCATGATTTTCAAAACATAACATTCTGGTGTCAAATGATGTGAACACTTCTTGTAGACTGTGTTTATATCATCAAACTAAAATCTGAGAATCATGCCCCTGAACAAACCTCGTACCTTTTAACAGTGTGTGCCCTTGAGTGGACTGATTTTGTTAAAATTTAATCCAAGAAATCAAGGTGGATCAAGAAAATTGATAGTATGTGGGGAGCAAACTGAATGCTTTCTTTTCTTCGTTGTTTATACATCCATTTGTAAACATAAATGTGAATTTAATTCAAATTGTAAATTTTATAGCTATAACAAATGTTTTTCAGGATTACTAAATCAATATATAGTTTTCTTTTACCTCATCATTGATGTGCAAAGAAATAAGCCTAACTAGTTATTGCGCCACGGCGAGTCTTTGCATCAGTGACACATCATATCGATTTAAAGGCATCTAACATGTGAAAAAACTTTTAAAAACATATTCAAAACATTTTCCACTGACATAGCCCCATGAGTCAGCCTAAATGTCACCTTGAGCACAACATGTACGTTTATGCTATCCTTAGACAACTATTCTGCAAACCTGGCTAGTAGTGTTGTCACACGCAACGTAATACTGTACTACCCAATCTGATTAAAATCTGATGTAGTGTACGGGCTTTAATTATTTTGGCTATAAACTTATTTTAATTTTATTTTTTATTACTTTTGTTATTAATGCC